AGTCTTGGGCTCCTTGGCTGTGAAATGCAGAAACAGACCTCCCCAGCTCATGAGGGCTCTAGAAAACCTTGCACAAGGTGAGCCCACACAGGAGGCACACCGACATTTCCAACTGGTACCTCAAACAGGACTCCGGGCACAGCGGTGGGGCCCTGGAGCACACAACTAGGTCCTGCAAACCCTCGGGCTCTTGTTTATATCCTGCTTCTGCCACAGTTTGCCTGGAGCAGTCTTTACCCCATTCTGTACCCTTGCCCGTCTCCCCACTCCCAACTTGTTCTCCTCCCGTCTGCTGGTACAGTCTCCCCATCTGTGACATCACCTGGGCCTGCCCAGCCCCACCCTTAATTGTACTTTCATTGTTGGCCTGTCTGCTTTGTTCATCTTCAGAGTCCCGGAGGCTTCCCAGTCTGTAAACCACCCTTGGGGCCAGCATGGTGCCAGGCTGGTGCTGGAGCCCAGAACCCCTTATTTACTGACCCCTCCCTGCGCTGAAGGCCCCATGGGCGCCCACTCGTCTGTCCCTGGCTAAGGCGGAGCCCAGACTGGAGATGCCGTGAGGACCCTAGGAGGGTGCCAGCCTCGTCCTCAGTTATCAGACGTCTTCCCAGCCGCTTCACCCCCAAGTAAACCGCCCTTGCCCAGCCCCCACCTAGCACAAGGAAGTGGGTCTTCAGCCCCTGGGGACCCCCTCTCCCCACCCATCCAGGCCTCACCCTCTTCACAGGAGGCGACAGCTGCTGCACAGCGCCCCTGGAGGCCTTGCCAACCTGTCCCTGCTGGCCTCTTGGTCCCCAAATGCCCCAAATGCTCTGCCAGCACCCCCACAGGCCCTGGGGGAGGAGGGCCCGGCTCCCGCCCCCAGCAAAGACGACAAAGCACCAGAAGCCAGCTTCAGCACAATTAAAACTTTTTAATGCAAGGAAGAAGTCTTCAGTCACTTTCTCCCCACGGGCGAGTGTGAACAAGCTGCTGCATCTCAGACAGCGACTTCCCGGTGAGGACGTGTCTGTGTCCCTCCTCACCTAATACCGTACGGCCGAGGGCTGGGGAGGCAACAGGCCAGATCCCGGAGACTCCGGCTGGCCAGGGCCAAGAGCAGCAGAGCAGCGCTGGGGCGCAGTAGGGGGGCCACTCCCTGAACCCCTGGCAGGGATGGGGAGCCTGTGGCCTTCTAGGTCCCTTAGTACAGCCTTTTGACTGAATCCAAATTTCACAGAACAAATCGTTTTATTAAAAGGGTGCAATAGAGAAAGATGAAGCTTTTCTTGCCTCCTTTGGTGCTTAAGAACAAACAATCTTGAAATCAGAAGGCTGTGGGTTCGCCACCCCTGCCAGGCCTGGGGGAACCTGGACGCGCAACACGGGCCAGGACACCTGCCTCAGCGCCAGCACGCCAGCAGCCACCCACTGGCCATCCCGGGGCTGGTGAGTGCGTCGGTTCCCCAGGTGAAGCAGAGTGAGGGGCTCGGGCCACCACGCCAGCCCCAGTTTCTTATTGCTCAGCCGGGGCGGTCGTTCCAAGGACATCTAAATCACATTCCCTCCTCTGCTCAGCCAGGGAGGAAGGCAGGAAAGGAAGGGGATGAAAAGGCAAGGCGGTTCCCTCAGCCCCTGCTGTCTGGACATAGGCCCAGGCTGAGCCCTGGGCTTCCTCTCACCCTCTCCAAACCAGTTGTCAGGACCCACCATCCACCTGAAGGCAGGGGAGGGGCACATCAGAAAGTTCCAGTACAACGAGGGGGAAACATTCCAGGCGGACAGGCTCAGCCGGACACAACTCTGGGGCCCCAGGAGGGGCATGCTCCCCAGGACCCTGCATCTAATGGTTTCTGGGTGGAGCTGCCCCCAGGCTGGAACGTGGGGAAGGGGAGACAAAAATCACAGCTTTTGAATGAGTGGCTGGAAGTTGCTGGGAAACTCAGTCAAGTATGAAAGGTGTCACTTTACAGAACAAAAACTAGCTTATGAAGTTTTCTGGAAGACCTTCTCTCACTCCTCCCCTCAACACCCCCAGAAAGACAAAGGTGGCTGGGCCGTGCTTCTGTGACTGCCAGGCTGGGGTGCAGTGTTGGTCCGGGTGGTCCGGGAGGGAGGAGCAGGGCCGGGCCCAGGGGGCCCAGGAGGGGGAAGGCACAAGAACCCACTTCATCGAGAGCGCAGGAGGAGGCAGAGCCGGCGAGGGAGGAAGCCACTGCCCCTGAAGTAACCCTCAGCTTGGAAACAGATGGAGGCTGCTGGGCGTTCCTGTCCACACAGCCCTGGCCTGGCAGCTGCCAGAAGGGGCGAGCTAGTTCCCTTGTGGGCACAGGCACCGCACGCGCCGTCCGGCCAAAGCCAGAGCGGAGGGAAGGTCAGGAGGGGACAGAGGCTGTGTGTGTGGAGGGGAGGCTGTCAGACAGAGCAGGAGGCAAGAAAGAACGTGCCTCTAACGTTATATATTAAAAATATCCATAGTTCTTGTGCACAAAATTCCATCATTCGCATCTGAGTATCACCCCTGCCTCCCCTGCCGGGCCCAGGAACAGCCTTAAAAGAAAGATGGCGGTTTTCCTTTTCAAGAGCCGAGGAAACATCCGCTCAGTCTTTATGGACCTTGAGAAATGGTGAGCCTTCCCCTCCCCCCAATCTCTGCCTCCCAGGCCTTTGCCTGCTGGGTGGTGTGGAGGTGGCAGGTGGCCAGGGCAAGGCTGGTCACTCGGTCACTCAGTCACTCGTGCCTCCGCTTGGAGGGCGGGATCAGGTGCGGGGGCAGGTCAGCGGGCAGCTCGTGGCCCTCGAGCTTGACCTTGATGAGGTGGTTGGCCAGGGCGAACTCCTCGTCGTCCAGCAGCCCGTCCTTGTCCACATCAGCCAGCTTCCAGATCTTCCCCAGCACCGTGTTGGGCAGCTTGGACTTCACCATCTCCTTCTTGGCATTGGCACCCGTGATCTTGCCGTTGACGGGGGACAGTGTGTAGAAGATCTCATCGTAGGTGGGCTTGTCCTTGCCCACCACCCACTCGACATCGTCAATGCCCTCGCCGGCCCCCTCACCGTAGCCGTGCCCAAAGGGCCCGTTCATGGTGCCATCGAAGGCGCCGCCCTTCACAGCCTGGGAGGGCATCAGGGACTCCTCCTGGCGCACCATCACCATCAGCCGGGCAATGTCATTGGCCAGCATGTCGTCCACTGTGTCCAGCAGCTTGGGCTTCAAGGCCTGGAACTTGCTGAAGTCCTGGGTCTGCAGGAGTTCCTGTGGGTGGGAGGAGGAAGACGAGCGCTGGGAAGGATGGCCCCTCCCAGGCTCCAGGCCGAGTGGCTCAAGTGAGGGCTTCTCAGGTAGAAAGAGCTGCTCTACCACTTCCCAGCTTGGGCAACTTAGGTCACCCCGCTGGGCCGTGGCTCCCTAACCTGTAAACAGGAGGTATCAACAGCACTTTCCTCGCAGCGCTGTGGCGAGGACTACCTGACAGGACACCGCAGAGTGCCTGGCACAGCCCAGCCCTCTCCCCCCACGCAAGGTGAGTCACCACATTCCCCTGCTCGGTGTCACTGCCTGGTCAACTCTGATTCGGGTGGGGTTCTGGTGATTCAGCCAGCTGCTTCCGTTTTGGGAGGCCCTCCCCCATGGAGCTGGGATTCCCTCCAGAGCAAGTGCCCTGGGCCCTCCTGGCTCCCTGATGGCCCCAGGGGCACTCGGGACAGCCGTACCTGCATCTTGCGGAGGCTGGGGAAGTCCCCAGGGGAGATCTGATGCTCTCGTTCGATCTTCTGGTAGATCTCTCCCAGGTTGTTCACCAGCTCTTTCTTCTTGCTCTCCTTACCAAAGACGTTGGGCATCTCCTTCTTGAGGGAGCTGATGATGTAGGCATGGACCTGTGGGGACCGGAGGGCGGACGTCAGGTGCTTCCTTGGCATATGCCCAGCGGACCCAGGGAGCCTCCGAGGACACTGCCGCTGCCCGCTGCTCGGGAACGGGGAAGTGGGAGCGATGGCATCGCGCTCCAGGCTGCTGCTGCCCTACAGGACCCGCCGGCCCAGGGGCAGACAGTGTGGAGAGGGCACCGCCGCCCACTGCCACGGGCAGAGGGAAGGAAAGGTGAGGAAAACCCACTTGAAATGGAAGACAGACAACAGCCCCGCACGAGACATCGTGAGGGTCCAGGAAGAGGAAAACCGAGTCTGTCAACCAAGAGAAGGCTGTTCGTTGAGCACCATGAGGCTGGAGGGGTGGGAGGCCTTGCCCAGGGTGCTTGGCGACTACGAGGAAGAGGCAAGACCACAACCCGGCTGCCAAGGCGGTCCGCAGCCCACGTTCTTTCTGTTTCTCTGCGCCCTCCCCTCAGCCACCTCTCCACGGTGTTTCCTGCAGAACTAAGGCAGCAACCTGCATGTGCCAATCCCTGCAGGGTGCTCGCAGAGAGCTCACACAACTGGGGGGCCTGAGCTACGCCCCACTCTATCATCGTGAAAGCTTCGGGATGACTAAGGATTAGAAAAATCCCACAAAGGCTTTTCCCAGCAGTTTCGAGCTCTAAGCTCCAGTACCTTGCTCAGACAGAGTTAAGGGTGGCACACCCTTCACTTCCCCGCAGTGGCGGGAACACTGGCGCCCCTCCAGAGCAGCCCAGCCTCAGATCCCTCGGCCCTGCCAAGTGACGTCCAGCTATGAAGGGCCGCGGCCGGCTCCAGCCCACCAGTGCCCTCTCCTCAGCACAAGCCCCACCTGTCCAGCCCGGGTGGCCTGGCCAAGAACTGCCTCAGGGAGGCGGCCCCTTGCCCCCATCCAGGATCTCCCGGAGATGCTGCAACAGGCAGGTCACAGAGAGCCACGGCCACCACTCTGCCCTGCGCGGGCCAGTGAGAGTCAGTGCAGACAGCACCACTCACGCTAGGAAAAGGACGCAGTCGAGACACGGCAGGGTTTCCGGGGCCTGTGGCGGGCGGTCACACACCACCCCAGGCCCGCAGGCAGTGGCTCCGCCTGTCCTTGAAGGAGGCTGGGTGGGGCTCAGCCAGGGCCACACCCCTCACTCAGGACATCCTTGGTCCTTTGAGGCTGGTGTTCAGTCACCAGGGTTTTCTCATGAGTTCCTTTCTCAGAACTGGCTCCACTCACAGGGAGGCTCTGGAAGTCAGATAATCTTTTTTTTTTTGAGACAAGAGTCTCACTGTGTTGCCCGGGCTAGAGTGCTGTGGTGTCAGCCTAGCTCACAGCAACCTCGCACTCCTGGGCTCCAGTGATCCTCCTGCCCCAGCCTCCCGAGTAGCTGGGACTAAAGGCCCATGCCACCATGCCTGACTAATTTTTTCTGTTTTTAGTAGAGAGATGAGGTCTTGCTCTCCCTCAGGCTGGTCTCGAACTCCTGACCTCAAGCGATCCTTCCGCCTTGGCCTCCCGGAGTACTAGGATTACAGGCGTGAGCCACCGCTAGAAGTCAGATATCTTGAAAAACATGCAGCCCTGAACCCTCCAGAGCAGGCTCTGACCTGCTCCTATGTGCACAGATCGCCAGGGGCTCAGGTCACGAGCAGATTCTGGCTCAGCAGGGCGAGGTGGCTCAGACATGCACTGTGGCGCCAACAGGCTGTGAAGCTGCCGGCCACAGGCACTTTGGGTCACAAGGTGGAGCCACAGCAGTGGCACAGGACAAATGGTCAGCTCTAGTTCCTTGGGCCAGGCAGCACCCAAACGCCACTGGACACTCTGGCCTCGAGACAGTGGGTATAAGGGCCACTGTCTCAGCCACTGCGGAGGCTCCACATCTCTGACCCACCCGGCGCAAGCAGGGGCATGGGCTCCCTGGAACGCGCCCTTCCTTAGTCCTCAGTCACACTCAGAGCCTGGAGGACTGCGTCCTTGGCCACAGGCTGCCACTGAAGGCTCAGCACCCACACCATGTCTGCCCCGGTCCTTCTCTGCATTCCACAGGCAGGGGTGAGCACCTGCTCTGTGCGGCTTCTCACCGGAGAACCAGTGCCGACAGGACAGTTCCTGAGCCAGGTTCTGACCCAGCCTGGCAGGGGAGCTGCGGCCAGAGTCTGCCCCTTCAACACCTGATCCCAGTGCCGAGAGAGTCGGAAAGCGCAGCTGCACACGCTGCCAAAATGCCAGTGTTTGGATGTGGTCATTTCCGGCTGTTTAGTCCATGTCAAATACTCCCGTCCAAAGGGCCAACCCCAGCCACAGTTGGGACTATCCCTCACAATGACATATTTGGGCCGGCTCATGATGTGGTGCTATCCAAAGTCAGACGCCCTAAGGGGACGTGTTCTGTCCCTCTGCGTTTGGAGGCTCCACTGGTGGCATAAACCTTCATTTCCTAGGCCAGCACCCTGGGCTCTCACTCGAGTACGTGGCCAGCCGCTGAGATTCCAAACTCTTGAACGATTCAGATGCTGGCGGCGGGTGCCAGGGGCCCTGTGCTTCCCCGAGGGGCGAGGATGGGTTACGAGGCCTGTGTGGACGGACACCGCGGTCTGGGCTTTAGCATCCAGTGTGCTCTCCGGGTTGCAGGCTGGCGCCCTTCCTCCTCACTAGCTGCTTCCTACCCAGCCTCAACATCTGCTCCCAGGCCCTCTACCCCACCGGGACAGCTGCCCACTGTCAGCTCCTGCAGTGCCCTGTGCTCACCTTGGACAACACTAACAACCAATGCTTATTTTTTGTGCATGCCCTGTTTTCCCCCTGAAGCCTGAGGGCTGCGTTCCTCCTCACTGTGTCCCCAGCGCCCAGCACTGTGCTGGGGGCACTTTCGTGCTTAACAGCCCCCAGGAGGGAAGCCCATGAGGTTCAGACCTATGTCCCCTCAAACACTCCATTTCCGGAGCTGCCTCCTTTGTCTTAGTGGTGACCGCCTGTTTGCTGTTTCTATGTTGTCAGCATATTCAAAGCCTTCCTAAGTACTTGGGTATAAACCACAAACAGAACAGATTAAGAGGAGGCCAGGGGAGGGATCTCAGACGAGCAGGCTGCACTGTGGGTGGGCACGGAGGACTGGTTTCTGCATACATGGAAACAGCACGGGGCAGGTCTGGCTATGCAGCAGGCTGGGATGGGCCTTGGGCAACCCTGGGGCCCCAAGCGCCAGTCCCAGAGCCCTCGAGTCCCAACCGGCAATAGGCCGCTCCCCTTGCCCCGGGGTCTACCTTGGCCAGCCGTGCCCGCTTGATCAGGTCATTGAGCTTCCTGAGGGCGGCGTTTCGGGGCAGAGACTGGATGTCTTTGAAGAGGTCCTGCTCCTCGGCCTCAAAGAGCTTGCGGTTGTCGGGAATGAGGAGCGGGTGGGACCAGAAGGAGCCGATGTAGACCCTGACCACCTCGGGGGTGTTGATGATCTTCCCCAGGGACCACATGAGGGCTCCGTACACCCGCATCAACTGCTGTGTCTCGATCTGGTCAGCCTTGTTCAGCACCACGCGGATCTTGTCCTCGTGGTTCTTGAGGGCCTTGATGACCTCCGAGAACTCGTCAGAGATGTCCAGCTTGTGGGCGTCAAAGAGCAGGATGATGCGGTCCACTCGCTCGGCAAACCACTCCAGGACTGCCGCAAAGTCGTAACCTGAGGGAGACGAGAAGCGTGAGCTCGAGGCACCGAGGGGCCTGGCTGCTCTGATGGCTCTTGTATTTCTAACTCGGCCTAGTATTTCTCAGTCTGAGGTCACTTTTAAAATTCTCACAATGTACTCATCTGGACAGCACAGCACCCTGAAGGCAGGCTCACCAGGTCGCCCCTGTTTCTGTACCTGCCATGGTGGTACCCTCACCCACATAGCACCCGGCATAAATAGATGCTAATGCAAAGGAAGTTGCCAAGTCCAAGTTCGCTAAGGTGCGTCAGACTAGGGCAAGAGTGAGGAGGAGACCCCAGCAGCACGGCTCAACACAGTACGGTGGGTAGAGCAGACTCAGGTGCTGCCACCTGCCAGCCGTGTACCCTTGGACAGCAGTGACGATACAGACCGGCAGTAACTGCAGCTGGTATTTGTACAGTGCTTATGTGCCAGGCTCCTTATTTTGCAGGAATCTCATTTATTAACTGCTACAGGGGTTGGCAAACTACAGCTCAGGGACCAAATTTGGCCCACCACCTGTTTATGTAAATAAAGTTTTATTGAAACACAGCCAAGCTCACTTGTATTGTCTATGGCTGCTTTTGTCTATAATAGCAGAGTTCAGTGGTTGTGACAGAAACCCATGTAAGGTCTGCAAAGCTGAAAATGTTAGCTATCTGACCCTTACAGAAAAAGTCTGCTGACCTCTCTGCTCTACAACAAGCGCAGGAAGTGCTACAAACCACTTCTCCTTTCTAGGTCTTAAACACTTTTTGAAAATGAAGCAGGTGGGCTAGACAGACTCTAGCTCTAAACCCTAATCTTTGCTGTTTCCCACCAACCCATTATGGCCCAATTAAGGCCCACCCATTAAAGTGAACTGTGTCCTCTGTGACAGAGACTGCTAACTGGAATTCTTCCTTTAATAATGGAACTGTCTCGTTTCAGCTGGACTCATGGCCTCCTAGCTTCAGACTGCATTTCTCAGCCTCCCTTGCTGCAGAACAAATGAGAAAAGATATATGAGCCCTTTGTCGTTTTCTCAACTTCCTGACGACTGGGATGCAGATGTGATAACAGGAGCTGGAGCAATCACTTTGAGTTCAGAGATGAAAACTGCATGATTCAGGATGGCCTTGGACTTATTTTTCACATAAACTACTGGATATTGGATTTAAGCCAATGATTTTTGGGTCTCTGTAACAGCAGTCTAATTTGTATCCTATTTGACAACTACGGCTCTTCAAAATGTTTCTACTTCTTCCACTGCCTCCAGAAGAAGTGAAAATTCTGTCCTCACCTTTTAGGAATACTGAGAAGAGGCAGGAAGACCCTGTGGAAACACTGGCCTAGCGTTTGTGGGGAGCTTGGTCCTAGCCCCTGAGGTGCCATGTCCCCTCTGACTGAGTCTGAGCAAGCTTCTTTGTCCCTGGCTCAGTCTATCCACAGGTACCAGGCCACCCTAAATGTAGAACAGCCCTTTTAAGAACCACAAGGTACTTTCCAGAGAGCAGTCAAGCTCCTGAAAAAAGCCAGAGAAGCCACTCCTACGGAGAACAGTCTTGGACACAGCCCAGCTGCTGGCCAAAACCAAGCTCCTCACCCCCAGGGCCTGCTCCTGGCATCCCCTGTGGAAAACATTTACCACCCTCTGACCAAGCTGAGGATTTAGACATGTATTCTCTAGATTGTAGGAGACAGGAAGCGCAAAAGAAAAAAAACAACAACAACAAAGTGTCAACGAAAGACAGCAGCCAGGCCCAGAGCAACGTGCAGTGACAGGAGGAGGGCAGCCCCCAGTGTCCTCCTGGTGAGGAACCTGCCGATTAGCCACCCCGAGCTGGGAAGGCAACGCGGTGGCACTGGCTGCCCCTGCCTGGGAAGCCCTCCCGGGCTGAAGGCAGGTCCGCGGCCCGTGCTGCCCGAGAGGGAGCCTCCACTCGCAGGGCCTGAGATAAACGGCGCTGTGAGGCATGCAAGGAGTAAGCTCTGCTTGGTTGGACAAATGTCCCCACTGCCAGGCCCCCAGGTTCCAGTGTGCCTCATAGTCACCTGTGAGCCTAAAGCCTCTCCCCACACTTGGGACACGCAGAAAGAACGCAGGCTTTTAAATAAGATGGCTCTGCACTCAACTCCCAGCTCCAGCCACTGGCTCTGTGACCTCAAGTCCTTTTCCTAACTTCTCAGTACTTTCTCCACCTGTAAAACTCAAACAGCAACCCCTCCTCTTAGCGTTACAGGGAGGACGACTGAGGTAACGCACCGGACCTCCCCGCAGACCTGGTGAGGGGACACGGGCCGAGCGGCCTGGGACCTCACCATGCTTGGCTCTGAGGCCAGAGACCAGCTTTTGTCCTGAAGGAAAGTCACCAAAACACCAAGAAAATCCCAAATCCACTGCTTCAGTCAACACAGCATGGGCAGCCTCTCCAGAGCAGTGATTTGCTACGGTTTTCCTGTCCCAGCACAGTGGGGACACAGGGCACTCTGCTCAGAAACAGAAACGGCCCCTCGAGGGCGGAGGCTCTTCACAGGATGGCGCTGGGGCCCTTCGGGCTGGGCGGGGAAGCCCCATCAGCCTCCCAGAGGCTCGTGTGGACAGCCCAGATCCTGCGTGCTCAGATGTATGGGAGGGCATCGAGCATGTGCCAGGTCACCCCTGTGCCAGCTGCTAGCCACCAGCACAGGCTGCTGGTTCCAAAGTACAAGGCCTCTGAGGCGCCCTGACTCCCAGAACCACAGGAGGGGACGCCCAGAGAGTGAAAGATCAGCAGAAAACCAGAGGGGAAGGCCCAGGGGCAGGAGGTGGGAAGCAGGGGCAAGGAGAGGTCGCCTGCTGCCCTGGGGCCACCAGGGGCACCCAGCTGAGCCTGCAGAGCCTGCCTGGGGCCCACGGCTGCCATGGCCATGGGCGGGCTCCGGGAACACAGGTCAGCACTGAAAAATCGATGACGCAAGGATTGAACAGCAGCTCCTCGCTCAGCAAAAGGGGGCCCCATTTCTCCCCTCATCAAACTGTCCTCAGACCAGCCTGAGCTGAAACTAGAATTCACACAGCTGGGGAGGCAGTGATGCCAAAACTGAGTTCTTGGGAACAGGACGCCCTGATGGGCTGTGCTGGGCTGTGTTGGCTTTGGCCTAGGAGTCAGGACAGCGCCTGGGGAGCTGAGGTCACCCTCCAAACTCCACCCAGTGTGGCCTCACTCCCTCCTCCCGCTGGATGGAGGGGGCCCCTGGGGAAAGGGAGAGAAAGGAGGAAGAAGAATATTCAGACTCTCTGCCAGTCCTGGAGTCCATGAGCCCCAGCCAGAGCCGCCCCCTGCCCCACCCCACCCCCAAATCCAGTCACTGGCCGTGGCCTGAAGTTCAAGTCAACAGAGCTAAGTCCCCTCTTTTGCAGGTGAATGAAATTTCCTGTTTGTTACAGAGAACACTCACACTTCTGCTGAGACGGAGACACAGTGACTGGCCAAGCATACCCATAGGTGACAAAAAGGGCCACAGCACTCAGGCCTTGCCATGTCATTGCAGGTGTGGGACCACGTGGCTGCAAACCACCAACCAGCCCCTCACTGCCCTGGGATGCGCCTCACTCGCCAGGTTTCAAGAGGTGCCAAGGGCTAACCACACAGTGGCAGCACCGCGCCGCCCTTGGGCTTGGAGCTCAGTGCAGGTGACGGGCACAGGACAGGGCTGGCCAGCGCCCCCAGCACTGCCCAAGGCCATGAGCCTTTGTTGGGACACACTGGAGGTGGAAACAGGAGTCAGACACCACCTCGTGAGACAGCAATTGTTCCTTATTCCGCAGCAGAAGCAGGAAGCTGTGTGTGCTGGGTGAGAAAGGGGGACGTCCCCACCAAGGTAGAGGTAGGAGTGATAAAACTGACACCTGTACCTCCACTAAGGACACAGAAAACATGGCCCAGCACTGTGGGCTGGAAGGAAAAGGCCACCTGCAGAGTGAGTAACTGCAGTGAATAAAGCCAGACCCACCAGGGACCACCTGAGCTGCAGGACAAGCTGGGACTCTGGAGACGTTAGCTAAGTGAAGTAAGCCCCTCACAAAAGGCTGAGACCCCACGGCAGGGTTCCTGTAGGGTTCCGTGTACAGGAGGAAGCCAGAGGAGTCAAGTGCACAGAGGCGGAAAGTAGGATGGTGGGGCCAGGGTGAGGGAGGGGGAATTAGCGTTTAATGGGGACAGAGGTTCAGTTTAGGAAGATGAAAAAAGTTCCAGAGCTGAACGGTGGTGATGGCTGCACAATGTTAATGTACTTAGTGCCACTGACCTGTGTACTTAACAGTGGTTAAAATGGATACGGAGGTCTCTGATTTATGTAAAAAAAAGAAAAGAAAAAAAAGTAGAATTTTATTTTATTCATTTATTTTTTTTGAGACAGAGTCTCACTGTGTTGCCCGGGTTAGAGTGCCGTGGCGTCAGCCTAGCTCACAGCAACCTCAAACTCCTGGGCTTAAGCGATCCTCCTGCCTCAGCCTCCCGAGTAGCTGGGACTACAGGTGCATGCCAAGCCCATCTAATTTTTTCTATTTTTAGTAGAGACGGGGTCTCGCTCTTCTTCAGGCTGGTCTTGAACTCCTACCCTCAAGCGATCCTCCCACCTTGGCCTCCCAGAGTGCTAGGACTACAGGCGTGACCCACTGTGCCCGGCCAGAAAAGTAGAATTTTTAAAAAAGGCAAGAAAAACGGCTACAATGGCAAATCTTCTATGTTAGGTATATCTTACCACAATTAAAAGAAAGAAAGAAAAAAGTCCTGGGGATGAGGCAAGCGGGGAGAAAGAAGAGAGTCATTCTGGGCAACCAGGCTGAGCCACTTCGGCTGCCTGACACCTCAGGCCCTATGTGCACGGGCGCCCTGGGCAGGAGGCCGAGTGCCACCTCTCACAGTGGCCTCCTGAGCCCTGAGCCTCCTCCAGGCCCCTCCTGCTCAGGAGGCACCTGACCCTCCCCAGGAGCTGGCTGGCCTGTTCACAGGGGCCGCCTTCCTGC